CCTGAGCCGAAGGCAGTCACTTAACCAACTGAGCCACCCAGGCGCCCTCTGCTAACTTCTAATCCTCTATTTTTTTAGGGCATATATTAAGATCCAGTTAAAGGACCCAAAATTGAAACTTAGGGATTGTCTTTTTTTCTGGGCAGGACTACAATTAATACATTTATAAATAGATGTGGACCACACCCATGTATGAACTTCACTCTGCAAGCATCAAGGAGCCATGCAAATTTCCAGAGCAATTTGACACCATCCCTGCTCCTGAAATTTTCCGTGGTCATACATTCAACAGGCTTCTTCGGTTCTGTGAAGAGCCAGCAGGCCAAATTTCTCTAATACCAGGATGGAGATTGACTCTCTTTAGATGGTACAGAACATCGTAAAACAGTTTTTCTGCAAATGTTTTCCCTGTTCTAAAGGTGTCTTAAGTGGGAAGATATAGAGCATATTGTAATGAGCAAAACATTGGGGATGGGGGAGTCAAAAAAAATCTGGATTCTAGTCCTGTTTCTACCATGTGATGTCATTACCTTAGTGCAGGGTTTCTCACCCATAGCAATATTGACATTTTGGTTTGGGTAACTCATTGTTGTGGGGCTTTCCTGTGCATTCCAGGGTTAGCAGTATCCCTAACCTCTACCGACCAGGTGCCTCTAGCACCCCTCTCCTATAGCTGTGACAACTAGATATGTCTCCAGACATTGCCAAATGTCCCCTGAGAGTCAAATCGCCCCCAGTTAAGAACCCCTGCATTAGTGAGATAGGTCCGCTTTCATTTTTGTAAACTGAGGAGATCATAGTATCTATGTCACAGTGTTGTTCAGATCATTAAATGAGATTCTACATTTTAAATCACTCCACAGATACTAGTATTGACAAAGTCCTTCATCAGGAATCGATTTTTTCCCCTATTTAACCACTTGCTTGGGGTTTTTCTAAGTCATCTAACCATAGAAACTAATCAAATATTTCATCCAATATTTAGAGTTAAAATTTAATCTTTTTTATTTACAAGGTAAGGTAAATAATCTTGGTCTGTGCTCTTCTATCAGGAACAGAGTCTCATTTGCCATTCAGTTCAACAGTTACTCGGTTTTAGAAACACTCACTGGGGTAGACAACCACCACTACATGTGTCTTTTAAATTTGCGCAGCTCTCCCCTCTAATCTGCATTACAGTTCGGTAGAGGATGATCTACCAAAGGAGAATCGGTCTGGAGGTTCCAAACAGCGGTGTCTCTGCCAGACAGATGTCAGCAGAATCCAACCTCCCAAACTTGTTGCAACTGCACACGGCAGCTGCGCAACCAGCAGTGCTTTGACATGCCCCTCATTAGTTAAGATTTCATACAAAGGCTGCTCGATAATAAATCCATTTTTTTCAGAGGTCAGTGTGTATTGGCCCCTCCAAAACCACCCTGGCATCAATCCCAGGACATAATTTATTGCCTGATAAGCAAGCAAGCTTTTCAATTATTTCCTGTCCCCCAATTCTCATTCCCTGTGATTTGACTGTCTTGCTCCTAAATCCCAGAAACCTGAAGCTAGGCAGGGCGGGGAGGGGGAGTCTTAAAGATACAGTCAATTCTACACAAAAGTTTGGAAAAAATGAGAGCACCTCTACCTGACTTGGTTGCGGTCACTGACTGATTTGCACTGTGTCATTCCAATCCCTCTTTCCAGAAGTCTGAGTGTATGTGAGTAGCTTCCCACCAACAGCTGGCCTTTCATTCCCATTGACCACTCTCTTTCATCCAGAAATCCCCCACTTCACTCCACCCACAGACCTGGTCTAGCCACCTTGGGGAAGTTCCTAAGTTAAACTGCAAGTTTTAGCTTCTCCTGACTAAGGCAAAGGCTCAGCCCAGCACAAAAGCCATCTTTGACTCCCTGCATCAGGTGTCCCAGCTAGCTGCTTTGCTCTGCCTTCTCTCCGCAGATCTCCCAGATGCCTACGGGATCTGCAGTCCTCTCTCCAGTGTTAGTTCTAACTTATGGCCTGCTCATTCCCTGACCCTTGTCCCTTAGGTACATCCCGACCTCTGGTTCTCACGAGTACCTATTCTGATTCCAGGTTCAAGTTACCTCCCTTCATGTGATGTCATTGCGAGTCTGGTATCACAACATTGGAGGTGGTAGATAATGCTGAAATAGATGACGTTTGACAAGATCACATAGCTTCTGAACTTTTGGACAATTATGGGCCAAAAGAATTGCACAAGAGGAGTAAAATAACCCCCAATTGATACAACTCATCTGCTTTACAAGTATTTTCTTTCTAGCATTTTAACTTATAATCATATACTAGAAACCACTAGAAGATGAAAGCTGGAGAGTATGGGAGAATTTCTAGCTTAATGAACTGTTACTTATATTTTTCCGAAATAATCTACTTCTGGAATAGAGGTTTTCCAAAGAATGATGATGGATTTGTACTGGTTCATCAATATTCTCTTTCCTCCCCAACTAGACTCCATTCCCTACTTGGAATCACTGACTGGGATGTAATATACACCTATAAATACAATCAAGCTTAACCTATTACATTTAGGTTAAATCTGGATTTAATTACAATAGCACCAAGTGGATGCTTAAAGGACAGGACCAGTTTCTTCATACAGGACTGTGAGGACGCCGTGAGAAGCTAATACAATAACGCATGTCAACATATCCAGAAGATGGTATCTATAGCTCTGTCTATAACATTTGGGTATTTTGGTTAATAAAGAAGTTTTACCGAAAAAGAAGTGTAAAAACAGACAATGAAAGAGCTCTTTGATAATTAGCAGAACAAAAGGATAATGTGGGGGCAGAAAAACTGTTATTTCCATGTTCTGCCTTCTGGACACCAAAGAAAAATCACTGCACATGGTAATCTCTGAGGTGGGAATTTGAGACATTCCAGCTGTAGAAATTCAAAAGAAAAGAGGATTACCAGGCAACCAGTAGGAAAATGATGAGAGATTGCCTCTGCACTGCCGGGGGGATGAAGTAGGCCCTCTAACAAGAGGCTCACAGGGTATCACTCATTAGCGTTGTGGGATAAACTTCTCCCCAGGTTCTAGTCCACAGCCAGTCCCCTTATTTTGTCAGAACATCAAGGGTAGATCCATCTCTCAGGAACACATTCTTATTAACAGGTTTATGAAGAGGATATATAAAACCAAATGCCAATATGTTATTATTCAAACCTCGGTGATTTAGCTAGGCTGGCACTACATGTCCCATAATTCCCTCCCATGTTATCCCAAAGAGGCTTTTGGCACAAGTTTTGGAAGGCCTATTTGAAGCAGTAGCCACACTGCTCTCACTTTCAGGATGATTCAGGGGCACCAAGTGCTCTTCCATCTCAAACTCCTGGATGCTTCAACTGGCCCTCCATTGACATGGGACACAGTCCCCTCAGCTGCTCTTCAGATTCTCTGTCTCCTGCCCCAACTATGTGTTTAGCTCTGTGACAAAGGGCATCACATTCTCCTGCAGATCACCCACACCATCAAAGTTGGAGGCAGTAAGGGACCCAGGTTCCAGTCCATCCTTGTGGATTCCCGCTTGTGCTAATGGTTTCATTTTTCCTTGCTCTCCCTCTCTTCACATCTTTCCTTGATTCCATGTCCTGCAGACTTTAAGCTCCAGAAAAGATGCAAAGACAACGTCTTTAACCATCTCCCACAATTGCATAAGATAGAATCTCTCTAAAAACATCATGGTGGTTCTGTCTTTCTGACCCGACCCTGACTTAAGTAAAAAATAACTATAATCGGTCTTGAGTTCTTAAAGCTTATGTGACCAGCACATTCCTTCTCTATAGGCAGAACTACTCAGGAATGAAATAGTAACCAGAAGTTCACTTAGAAAGCTTGGAAACAGAGCAGAGTTAGATAATCAAATATTTAATGTAAATATTTTTACATTTTTTTACAAATATTATTTTCACAATATTTTACAAATACTATTAATTTTAATATAGGATTTTCTTGCCAGTCTAAAGGGATTCCTAAAAATTCTGTTATATACATCTTTTTTTCTGAACTCCTTGCTGAAATGAGCTTCTGTGACTGTTCTTTTCAATACTTTCAAGAGTGACCAATCTCTAATTGAGAACTTTTTCCTTAAATGTGTTAATCATTCAACTGTAGTTCCTTTTTTTTTTTTTTTCCGGTCAGCTCTTTTCTGATCTATTATAATCCAAATACTGAAAAAAATGGAAACATCCAAATCTCTTTCCCACCGTTGAAATTCTTTACTTCATTTCCTAGGTTCTGCAAATTAGAGATAAATTTAGCTTCTCAAGCAACCTCTTTTACAAAGCGAATACCCCCATGGAGGCTAGCAGACTTTCTCCTCTTAGTATGAATTAACTCCATCTGTTTGCTTTCCTCTTGCTGTGATCAGCTGTGCTGAAAGAATTGGTGTTTTAGCTGGCGATAGAAAGGAAGAAAATTATTTTAGAATATTGGATCTTTAAGGGAAGAGGAATCCAGTTGAGTCATCACAGGGGGAGCCCACAGACATAGGCAGTATAATCACTCAGTGCTTCTGAGGAAAAGGAGGAGAGACAAAACTGTCAAGATACTTCTTCCGATTCCAAATTCTGCAGTCATAAGTACTTCAGTAGACAATTTAGACTCAGCAATAGAGTCTTCCCAAATCTCAGACCTTGACTGAGAAAAACAGAGAGCAAATTCTAGTTCAAATGCTAAGTATGTGAACAGCTCTCTCCCCAGTCAGATATCAATGCCATCTACATAAATGGCTCTCATTAGGTGACATTTGAAAGGCTTTGGCACAAATGTATGGCTGTAAGAGATCCTGAAAATTTCAAAATAATCAAGCTGTAAGCAGCAATTATTGACAACATACAAAAATCACTGCATTTTTGTTGTCATTAACTTGAATACAACCTCCAAATTACATGGAAAGTTTTTCTACCAGAATTCCAAATATTAGAGTTTATCAGATTCTTAAAAATAATATTTTCAGCTTGAAAAGAGCCTGGAATTATTGGAATAAAAATGAAAGAGTGGAGATAACCGTATTTTCCAAAATTCCATTTTCAAGCAAACTTTATGAAGCATTTTATTTTGTATAGAAACTTTGAAATAGCCTAAAGGCTTTCTTTGACCAGCTGTATATTCTATCTGTTAAATGTCCTCAGAGTGAAAAGATTCGCTCAGCAGAGGCACCTGCAGGATGTGCAACGATTCATTTTTGCTCCGCGTGTTGGTTCTGTGGAAGCATCCACTCTACTGGCTCATCATTTACATTCACAATGGACATCTGGAGCCAGCAAAAGGGAACATTAGACTTGTTTGTGTTGTCAAATTAAAAAGGGAAAAGAGAATGGTTTAAAGTTCTGAGAGTCTCTGTAACATTTAATTATGCTTTTCACTGCAGTCCAATCAAAAATATGCTTTTGCAGGAAAATGGGCACTAAGAAAAAACCTGCTTTGCTATTCAGATTGTTGCCAGGTCAACCTCTCAATTCCTAAGCTTACAGAAAAGCAGCCATGACACAACTATAGGGTCTTCCCTCTGAGGAAGCTGAAGAGCTTCACCACAATTCTCAACAAAATTGTATTTCCTCCGCATTCCCATCAGATGTTATTATCCCTCTCTCCTGATTGAGGAACTAACAAACTGGTAAGCCAACTAAGTTTAAGAAGGTATCTAGATCTGCAAGGCTGTGCTGTCAATAAGCCTAACATCTCATAGAATAAATTCAAATCCAAGACATATGACTGGATACATATTTGGTAATGGACTGTTACACAGCTCAAAGAGTAATGTTTCAATACTATTCTTATGGGAAGTTTGTTTTATTTTAGAAAATTTTAATATGAGAATTTTAATAATTTTCAAAATCAATTCTCTGAAAGAAAAAGGATTTGCTGTACCTAAATAAATAAATAAATAAATAATAAATAAATAAAATGGGGCAGTACTAAAACTGGCTGCTTCCCAATGACCTTTAGACTGACTATTCCTAGTGAAACTGTTTCAGATATTAGGCTGTTTCTATCCTAACCCCAAATTAACTCAATCATCTGTCAGCTGAGAGGCTGATAAGAAAAATACTTCAATATACAGATGACGGTATTGATGAAAAAAGTGTGTTTTTTTTTCCCTAGCTTATCCAGTGATTGCATAACATTTAATGAGCCTTTACTCTATTTATTGCACTGTACTAAATAACATGAGAATTAAAAATGGAGCTTACAACCCAGCTAGAAAGAAAGAACAATAAACAGAAATAACAGGATGATTTCTGAAACACTCATACTTCACAGAGAAGTTTGGTACAAGTGAATTTTAATTAGTGATATTCCTACCTCAACTCCCCCTATGCATGCACACACATACACGAAAATCATAGATGGACCCAATGGGGAAGGGGAGATATTGTTCCTCTGGAAAAAAAAAATCCATTTTAATAATAAAATAAACCTCTTGAAACTTAGGTTTTTAAAGAAAATTGAAACATATTAATAACAAAGAGGTTATTAACATAAGCATGAAGCTATTAATACAATTTCATGGTTATTACTACTATAATATACTATAAGAGAACATGAACACCAGGCAAAACTTTGTTGAATCACAATTGTTTGTCTCATGTTGTTTATGTTTAGTCTTAAAAGTACTAGTGCTTTTAAATAAACTTTTCATTGTCCTGAATGACTTCACATCTTAATTTACATTTAATTCTAAATTCTTTTAATATTATACTAGAACTCATTTTTTAAGGGCTTGGGATTATGATTTTGCTTTTCACATTTCTAAAACCATTATACTTCATGTCACCTGGTAATATCTTTGTGAGGCACCATGTATTTTTATTTTTAACAAATGACATGGACTTGGCACAATGTTCAGGCTTGAAAATCTGTTCATTGCTTATTTGTATTTTTTGACATACTTACCAACAGCTAGTCCTTACTTTTTTTTAATTCAGGAAAGTATTTAGAGTCTATTCTTAAAATTGTTTTTTACTTAACTTTTAATCCACATACAATACGGAGATAATGATATAGCAGAACATCTTTACCAAACTAGGGTGTTGCTTGCGGTTATCTTGTTGATGCCTACATGGCCCACATCATGTAAGGGGTGTAACAAGTATGGAGAGGTGTCCCCTGGACTTTGTGGCCCCAGTTTCGGCATAGCTGATGCAGTTATCAGACCACCCAACCTGCATGCTTGTTGTCCAGGAAGCTCCAGCAAATGTCCTAGCAGAAGAACAGGTTTGATAGACAAAACTTATCATAAAACATTATAGCTTCATTTCCTTATGTAACCTCCAAATGGTTATATCATGAGTGTAGACTGCATTTCTCCACCTTTTCCTGTATATTTATTAGCAGGATAGAAGCACCTGTAAAGCTGGAGCTGCCTCCCTCCTCTAGCTCCATGATTCTCAAACTTCAGCGCACATCCCCTGGAGGACTGGCTGGGCCAGTCCTGAGAGTCTGGGGTGGAACCTGAGATTTTCATTTCCAATGTGTTTTCATGTGATGATGATGATGATGATGATGATGATGGTCCAGGAATCAGGCTTTCAGAACCACTGCATGCTTTTTCTGCTCATTCTGAGATCATACACAATCCTTCAATCCGTTCAAATCACAGAACAACAGTCCCAATACAGATACTAAAAGTATCCAAGTATCCAAGCCGAGATATAATCCCAGTTCAAGATAAGAGCTCTCTCCAGCATTCCCTCATTAAAATCTGGGACACCAGGGGGCTGGCTGCCTTCTGGAAAGGTGGTACTGCCAACCTCTGCTCTCTCTCTCTCTCCACTCACCTTCTCCCCACTTGCAAATCATTGGCACACATCCTACAAGCTGAGGGAAAGTCATAAGAAGTGAAAAAATAAAGGGAAATAAGATTAGAAAAGTTTTAATTGGTTGCTATCTGTTGCTGTCCAAAGCCAGCTTCATGCACCCTAGGCCTGGCAGATGTGGAAAGTTGACTCTGTTTCCTGAGCACTTTTGGGGATCCTTTGGAGCACCCCCATAATGAACCTATCTGACTAAAGTCCCCATGACCAGGGTGATGACACTTCTTTCACTAAGAGCTGTTATCTAAGCCCTGCGTCTTTGGAAGTTGGGTCCACTCAATTCATTCTCACATGCGAACTGCTCACTCTCCCTGCAGGTTCCTGGGCTGTAACTCTCTCTCCAGACTGGAGCCATGGAAAATAGTCACACACACCCTTCCCCAGTGCCAACGAGGATGTTTGAACTTCTCTGAGCACCTACTCTCTCTCTCCCCTGCTGCCCGCCACATTGGCTTTCTCAGGCATCCATGGAAGCTATATCCTTAATGTAGAGAACACACGTCAGCCTCTGATTTGGTCCTATTGAGCTTCTTCCTCATTAGGCCTTGAAGTGAAGTGATAGCCACCATCCCCCTGCCCATTTAGGAGTGACAGGATAGGGCAGGGCCGAAAGGGTAACTTTCTCTTAGAAGATCCTCTCCACAGAAGTAATTAACTTCAACATCATTGTCCTCTTTCTTTGCTCCACTTCTTCCTTTCACTCCCTTCTTACAAGGTCAGAGCCTTCCTACCTGTCATTATTTTCTTTGAAAATCTGCATTTTGGTTGGGCATTTCACTAGGAATTTCCTAGCTCTTGGCTGTCTGGGTGCCTCATCTCAAACTTTCTGCTTTAACATCCTGTAAACAATGAGAATCTTGTACCCTCTTGAGCTAACCTGCTTGCAATACTCAGCACCAAGACTTTGTGTGTTCCAGACAATTCACTGATGCAAATGCCTTGGTGAAGAGTGTAGATTTTAGGGACGCCTGGGTGGCTCAGTCGTTTAGCGTCTGCCTTCGGCTCAGGTCATGATCCCAGGGTCCTGGGATCGAGTCCCACATCGGGCTCCTTGCTCAGCAGGGAGTCTGCTTCTCCCTCTGCCTGCCGCTCCCCCTGCTTGTGCTTTCTCTCTCTCTCTCTGACAAATAAATAAATAAAAATCTTAAAAAAAAAAAAAGAGTGTAGATTTTATTGAAGATGTTACAGGGACAGATGAAGGGCTAGATATGGGCTACACCACTTTGTGTCCTGAGGGCCTCCTCTCTTATTATTCCTCTACCACCCTGGTTTCAGCTTCTCTTTCCCCTCCCTCAACCCTTCTGATCCCTCCACAAGAGTATCAAACCCCTCTCTCCTGTATTATGCAGAGTCATTTGCTTCTTCCTCTGGCAAGCTGGATCTAGCAGGCAACAGCTCCTTCCTGGCAATCATCTCTCAATAAAATCAAGTAGGAGCCTCTCTAAGTACCTTATTTTTACTCTTTATTACTGTAACTATGTTATCATGTTTCACCTTCAGGAAAAACACTGAGTAAAATACTAGAAGTGTTCATCTTAGAGATGCTGAAATTGGGATGCAGAGATCGTAGGCTGCCTGCCCAACTTCACAAAGTAGAAAAATGGTTAAATGTATATGTCTTAGAGGGGTATTCTATCATAAAACAGTGAATCCCATGCCAGCGTGCCCTACCCATAGCCTTCCTCCCTAGTTTTCCCAAGTGTATCTTGACAGGCTAGTGCCAGAAGTAGAAATGGGTGCAAGCAGATAATCTGGCCAAGGAACACTGATGGCTTCGTACCAACCTCCCAGAATCAGCACCTCAAGGAGAAATGTCATTGCTTTTTAGCCAGTAGCTGCCATCATCAACAACTGTATTGGCCACCATTTCAAAAGATTAATTTCAAACTGCTTGTATTCCAGATTTCCACCAATTAGCTCGGACTGACACAGGTTTACAGCATAGTGAAACAAGAGGGGGCAGCCATCCTCTCCTATGGAGGAACAAGGGATTTGCTTCTGAAGCTGCTATTAGCATTAATGGGGTTGTGAATTTACCTTGTCTCATTTCAGTGGGAGGAGAGACCTAGCCGGATGATGAATGTAGATAAGATTATTCTATTCAAAGCATTGCTTGCAATTTCTATTAGTAGCCATGGTTTATCTCCTTGTATGTCTTTATGAACCAAATTTTGCTCCAAAGTCATAATGCTTTAGATTATCAGTCGTATCAGGTAATGTCACCAATGATAAGTGCCTGCTGTTAAAATAAATGTTCTGCATCTCAACTTGTTTTTAATGCAGACTCCTAGGGGCTTGTGCAACAGTGGGAATCCATTTATCGGCACAAAACAGCCTCTTGTTTACACATGATCACTTGGTAATCATGCAGCCTGTGTACAAGAAGTCAAGAAAAATAATAAGCGTGGCTCAATCTCAAGGCTGGAACAAGGGGGCTGTCTTTTGACAATCAAGCACTATTTATAAGGATTAATGTGGCTTTTGATAAACTGCCAAACAACCACAGAGACCAGATTTAGAACAAGGCCCACTAAAGACCTTTTGGGCTCTTCATTTTCATGAAGACTCTTCTCAGAGCATGCTGAGCAATTGCTTAATAATTGGAAATCAAATGTATTAAAAGAAAGCATAGCTAAGTGCTCTCCCTGAAAACCCAAATAATCTCGTTTATCCTCTTTTTCATACCAAAGAAATCATATTCTACAGTCATAAAAGGTAAAGATATTGTCTCCTTTTCCCCATAAAACCCAATGTCCCCAAAGCATATGCACACTTTCCCTGAATTAGAATTTATGCTCCTGGTATGAGTATAGTTCCACAGGGGAGGCAATTGCCTATGTGACATAACTTCAGAAATGATACAAAGCCCTGCCAACTCCAAAACTTTCTGTTCACCTTCTCACCTGGCTGAAATGGGATTAAAGTAATATTTTCAAGGTAAGTGTTGGCAGACAGTCCTTCATGTATTTCTCATGCTTCTATACATCTTGCTCAGTGTGCCAGGAATAAAAAGGCTATGACTACTCTTTACACAGTGCTCTTTATCAGGGTCATGTTTGCAATGAGCAATCTTAGGGGATGAAGTAACATTTGTCCCAAAGGACAGACTTGCTTACTGCTTGCTATAAAAGTAGTGAATTCTCCCAAGTTACTATTTCCCAGGTGTGATGCAAACCCACCATATGTGAGGCATCCATCGGCCCCATACTGCATGAGACTTGGGGCAAGGGAAATTGATGCAGACACATGATGCTCATGCTGCCTGCTGTACCATAAGTAATAAAGCCCTTGTCTCTGACAAAGGAGCCTCATTTCTTCTGCCAGCAACCATCAAACAATAACATGATAACACATTAGTCAGAAGTAGGATAAAATCAAACTTCAAGGCTGGAACTAAGATGTATTATCTGCATATGATATAGATATCCAGAAGATTGCTGGTAAAATAAGGAAGAATCTTTCCATTAACATATGAGCACATATTTCTTTATTTGATAGTCACTTCTTCTCTTCCTTCCTTTCCTCCTCCCTTCCTTCTTTCTTTTCCTTTCCTTCCTTCCTTTCTTTTTTCTCCTCTACTCTCAGTTCATGTGGTTCAGGTGGGTCCAACCTCTTTTCTCCTCCACTTCAGAACCGGACACATGGTCCAGTCTGGGTGTTTGGAGCATTCCATGCTCCTGTTTACACCAGTTGGTTGTTACTGCTTTGCAATAAGATAGAAAAAAAAAAAACACATAAAGGAAAATATCTGTGTAGCACAATGTGGTGCAAGCCAAGTAAATGAGACTCAATTTATTGAGCACCAACTACAAAATAGGAACCATTCTGGCAGCTGCAAATATATTTGGAAGCAAACAGAAAAATTCCTTCTTTGGAAGAGCTTTTACACAAGTGGAATTTTCCTGTAATTATTAGGAAAGAATGGCTATCTTTGAGCTGTGGTTGCTAAAATGGTAGAACATAAGACTAAAGTTGCAGTGGCTGGGGTGCCTGGGTGGCTCAGTTGGTTAAACTGCTGCCTTTGGCTCAGGTCATGATGCCAGGGTCCTGGGATGGAGTCCTGCATCAAGTTCCCTGCTCAGTGGGGAGCCTGCTTCTCCCTCTTCCTCTGCCCCCCCGCCACATTTGTGTTCTCTCTCACTCGCTCTGCTCTCTCTCTTAAATAAATAAATACATACA